AAAAAAAAAAATAATAATAAATAATAATAATAATAAAGAAGTGGTAATCTGCACAGTACTGGAAGGCCATTCAAAACACAGGTGGTAAACACCTCTTTCTTTAAGATACCTTATCAACAGTAGGATGTCCCTAATCACACTGAGGCCGACCAAACTTTGGGCACGGCAAACCCAACGATGTAAACAAACGCTAAGCCAAGGCCGTGTCCAGAAAGAGGCTTTAGTGCTACCCTGACTTATGGATGCCTCTGTGGGACTGTAAATGCTTGGAAGGCCAGCCAGCCTTTACTCCCAAGTACAAGCGCAGTTTCTCCCTGCACGCCCCAGGCTTCCCCCGCCCCATCAACGCCACGCATATCAGTGCAGGACTTTTTTTTTTTTTTTTAAACCGAACTCCTTCTGCCCGCGCCGCCCAAATTACAGGCCCGATCACCGCGTTTAAAAGGCACCATATGGTTCGGGAGTGTCAGGTGGCCGGGCCAGCACCCTCCATCATCCTCGCAAACCGCGTTTTTGGTGCCGCATTCGGGAATGACATGCTCCGGGCGGCCGGGACTCAAGAGGCGGCAAATCCTCGGCCACCTGGACGGGCCGATCGGCCCCTTTGTAAGATGAAGAAGTTCCAGACGAGGCCCATTGTTCAGTTACATAATCTCAACGGACAACCTCGGGGCCGGGCCAAAAACAAGGGCTGCCAACTTTGGGGGGCGGCGCAGGAAAGCGACCGGGGGTGCGGCCGGCTGCTTATGTAACCGAACCCGAGCAGCGGCGCACTGGGCTCCGGCACCGCGGCCTTTTTAAAAGGCTGGGCCGGCGCGGGGCTGGGAGGGCCCCGGCCGCTGTGTGCCCGTGCCCGCCGCGCTCACCTTGGGCGTGTGCGGGGTGTCGAAGAGCCGCAGCTTGCGGAAGGTCTTGTGCGGCGGGGTGCCCGGGTGGTCGGGCCGCGGCGAGCAGGGGCCGTGGCGCGCCCCGCAGCTCCGCGGCGACGCATCCCCCGGGCCGCCGCAGAGCACAGGCGAGAACGAGCTGCCCAGGAAGTAGGGGGCCGCCGGCGACTTGACCGGCGACGAGGAGCCGAAACCCTCCTCCTCCCACGAGTCGCCCTCCGCCCCGCCGCCCGCCTCGTCCGCGCCGCGGCAGGCGCCGGGCAGCAGCAGGTCCTCCTCCAGCTCGCAGGGGCTCCCTGGGGCCGGTCCGGGCGAGCGGCGGCGCTCGGGCCCAGGCTCCATGGGGCTCCGCGCAGGCGGCAGCGGCGAGTCGGGCTCCTGAAAGGCCGAGTCCTCCCCGGTGCTGTGGCCGCTGCCCTCCTCCTCCTCCTCTTCCTCTTCTTCCTCAAAGTCGCTGCAGGGCGAGAAGATCAGCTTCTGCCGCAAGGTGCAGGCGGCCCCGGCGCGGCGGGGCGGCGGCGGCTGCTGCCGGCTCAGGAAGCTCATCGTGGCCCTGGGGCCGGGGCCGAGGACTGGAGAGCGGAGGCCCGCGGGGTCCAGGACACTGCGGGACAGGGGGCGGGTCCGCCACGTGCAGCTGGGCGAGCCCAGTCGCGGCGTTTCTTCGCGGCGGGTAGCCGCGGCTACCGGGCACTCGGGCTGCGGGCGGTGGCGGTGGCGGCGACAGCGGCGCGGACTGTCCGGCTTTGGAGGGGCGGCCTGAGCACCGAAGCTGAGGTCTCCTCAGGTCCAGTCTCAGGTTCGGGCTCCGCGGCTTCCCGCGACCGTTAACCACGTGAGTTCCCAGTCCACCAATCCCCGTCCAGCTCCGGGTTTGAAAAAAAAAAGAGGGCGCGACGTAGCCCGCGGGGGAAGGACCAGCTACGCTATTTTGGCGCGAACCCGCTGGCTCCGCCCCCGGTTCCGCGCCGGCCTGGCCTGGGCGGGCCGTGGCGCTCTGGGCCTATGAACGAGCCCAGGCGGCTGGGAACCCGGCCCGGCGCCGCCTGAACACCTCCAGGACAAGACTGGGTCCGGGACCCGAGGTGGCCTTCTGGGAGGAGCAAAAGAGCTGGACTCGCCGAAGCTAACATGAACGCCGGCCTGGACGCGGCCCTCTCGCTGCTCCTCAGTGCCGGGAGATCTGAAGAGGGCCAGGCGCCCGGGCAGCGTCTCCGGGTCTCTGCGAGCTGGGAAGAGCCAGGGACCGAATGGCCTTCGGCCGCTTTCTCCGGAAACCACTTCTTGCCCCTTGCCCCTTGGGGCGGACCACTGGGGCGCAGTGGGCGTGGCAGTGGGCAGCCCACGTTCCCCGGTCGAGGTCTGAGCCGGAAATGGTGACTCAGGCCTCAGGACCTTTCTGAACTGTGGGAGCCGATGTACTTAGGCCGGACACTAGCTGGGAGGCGGCCTCTGAGCCCCAGTATTTCCCCTGGGTGGGTGGCTGTTAGGGGTGGGTGTCTCCACAGCGAGAGAGCTCTCCCTAGCCGGGGTCCACCTTTGCAGCCGACCTTGTCCGCGGCCAAAATAAACAGCAGCACAGTTGCCCACCACGAAACCAGCACAGGGCCTTAGTGTTTACATTTGTTTGCCAGCACGTGGGCATGCGTTGGCAAAACCGATTGGCCCGGCTCGCTGCAAACTTAAATGCAATTTAAAAAAAATTTCTCTAGTGCTCCGTTAAACCGATTTAATCCGTTTATTGATCCACATACAAGTGTCTTGCAGTTTTCTTTTTTTTTTTCTGAGACAGAGTCTCGCTATGTCACCGAGGCTGCAGTGCCGTGGCACGATCTCGGCTCACTGCAACCTGCAACCTCCCCACCTTCAGGGTTCAGCTGCGTGTAGCTGGGATTGCAGGCATCTGCCACCACACCTGGCCAATTTTTGTATTTTTAGTAGAGTCGGGGATTTGCCATGTTGGCCAGGCTGGTCTTGAACTCCTGACCTCAAGCGATCCGCCTGCCTCGGCCTCCCGAAGTGCTGAGATTACAGACATAAGCCACCGCACCTGGCCTCTTCCAGTTTTTCCGTTGTAAGTAACCCCGCGGCACATATATTCCTCGTTCTCCGTGGGTTTTTGGTGAGTTTTTTTTGTTTTTTTTGAGATGGTGCCGCTCTCTGTCACGCAGGCTGGAGTGCAGTGGTGCGACCTCAGGTGATCTGCCTGCCTCCGCCTCCCAAAGTGCTAGGCGTGAGCCACTGTGCCTGGCCTTTTAAAAATGTTCTTTTGGGCTGGGCACGGTGGCTCACGCCTGTAATCCCAGCGCTTTGGGAGGCCGAGGCGGGTGGATCACAAGGTCAAGAGATCGAGACCATCCTGGTCAACGCGGTGAAACCCCGTCTCTACTAAAACTACAAAAAATTAGCTGGGCATGGTGGCGCGTGCCTGTAGTCCCAGCTGCTCGGGAGGCTGAGGCAGGAGAATTGCCTGAGCCCAGGAGGCGGAGGCT